TTATTGGTAAACAGTTTTTTGGCTGCAGCGTATGCATATTTTATTGCAGTACGGTTATCTTTACATTTTAGCTTTTTGATTTGTGAACGTAGTTTTTTTACAATTGTCATAAAAGAACGAACCCCAGCACCAGCTTTGAGTTTAGCTTTCATTGCATTTTGTACAATCCATGACGCTACTTTTTCGCCTTTTCCAGCATCTTTTGATTTTAATCTTTTTTTTGCCATATCCAAAAGTTTTAAATCTGCTTTATGTCGAACGTTTAAATCACTATTATTGTAAGCAATATCGTGAAACATACAAGCTTCATCTAATTTATTTATACCACGTTCACCTCTTAGTAATCGTTTCTTAAGCTTTGTTCCAGGACCACAAAATTGATAGCCTGGTAGATGTAACTCAAACGGTAGATTGTTTATCAAATTATTAACAATACCACTTCCTTCCTCCATAAATTTTTTTAGAATGAGTGTTTCGAGATTTGATACTTAATTTATATTACAAAACTATAGCATTCTTGTCAACCCAACTATTTTCTTTGCTATCGAGACCTAGCCACTTTACAAAAAGTTTGTTACCTTTTCTTTTTAGTACTTTTTCAATGAGATACATATCTGGGAATTCAGTTTTCTGTAATTCATACTCATAAAAAGAACCTAAAATTTTCTGTTTATTTCTGTCTTCTAAGATATAAGTTGGTGGATTTGTATTATTTACTTGTATCACGACAAATATTTCAGTAGACCAGTTTGACGTATAACCTTTGTAAAAGTCTCCTTTATGTTTACTAATACGCACATGGTCACCAATACTAAATTTAAACTTCGTATATGTCTTCTTATTATGTGATTTAGTAATATTCGATCGGATCAACATCTGATTGTTTTTATTCACGTCAACAGGCTTGAATTTTGTGATTCTATGCCTGGTATTATTGTAACTCTGCACTACGACGTTCAAATTCTTTTTTAACCACTCGTACCGACCACATAGACTAAATACTTTGTAAAGGCGACTTTTTAGTGTTCTTATTACTCGTTCTACTATAGATGCTTTTTTTATAGAGTAGGTGGAATAATGGTTAATGTTATACTTAATCATGAGTTGCTTAAAAGTATTATTATAAAATTCTTTGCCTAAATCGGTTTGTAAATTTTTTGGTTTCCGAGATGTAGTCGTTAATATATTTTCCATCGCATCTGTAACACATTTTTTTTCTTTCGATTTTAATGGACTTACCCAAACATATTTCGATAAGGCATCAATAACGACTAATATATATTTATAACTATTGTTAAAATTTGAATATTTTTGAAAGTCCATTAAATCAGCCTGCCATAAATCATCTAGCCCTTTTACAATTGTACATCGACGAGGAAAATTCCTTCTCGCAGTCTTATGAAGTTCGTCAACTATGTCCTTTTTACTCATTTTTATTTGGCTTTGCGCTGATCAAGTGATCTATTTCAGCTTTTGAATAGAATAAAGTTGATAACTGGTTTGAATTTGCTTTTTCTAGATTTTTTAAATAAATTTTTACATTACTATAGATTTTGTTCATTTCATTTCTCAAATCTTGTGCAGTTTTATCTAAATATGCTTTATTTACTGCCTCATCATCGTTCACTGGAGTTGCAAGTCCTTTCAATTTTGATGATTTCAGGTCGTAATGACCCGTATCTGATTTAACAAGAGTATCGTTTAAGGTATCAATGTATTCTTCCAATCGTAAACGTTTATGAACGTGATGACCAAATTTGTCTATATTCATTGCAGTGTTCTTCGTTTGTTTACAGAAAGCCAACTGCCTGATTTTTCCGTAATATATCTTACTTATATTTTTTATTAATGAGACCTGCTTCATATAATTCCTCAATGATGGATATAATCTCATTATCTAAGCCAGTATTGCCTGCGTCGCGTGATGCATATAATAATTTTAATCGTTCCACTAATTCATTTGGGTTGTCCCAATATATAAAGTCAGTATTATTTTTAAGTTTTTTTAAGAGTTTCACGCCTTTCCCTTGTGTAAGGCTTTCTTGACTTGTAGTATTATTTCTGGAGAACTTAAATAATGGCTTGATGATCTTCATATATTTGAAACCTTTATTGCTGTTGATTGGTTTGGATGGATTATAGTTACGCCTGTGTGCATTAGTCTTGATTAATAATGATTTATAATTTTGCAAATCCTCCTCGGTAACCACATCTAAATTAGGTTTCTTTTTGAATAATAATTCTGTTAATCCAAGAGTTTTGTTGAAACTTTGATTTCCAATATCTAAAATATTGCCATCGTCATTTACGCGGGTTTTGCCGAGCATGAGTTTTCCTCGTTCATGTCTTACTCCAAACGGTATATCAGGCATTACTTCCGATGATGTAGACCATGACAATGAGTAGTTTTTAGCACTTGGTGAAGATGGCAAGGATTTAAACGAATTTGCGCTTACATTATGATCTTCAATAGATGGTGTAGTGAGTGTTCTATCCGAGAAAGCATTATCATTGTCTTCGGATTCTTCACTATTTGCTTGATCAGAATCGTCACTTGAAAAGAAATTGGTTTCACTGTCATCATTTTTATTTTTTTTCAATATGGGTTCAAAATCTCTTTCTATTTTATGTTGATTTACATCACTTTTATTTGCAATCATATTGAGCGGTTCAACAATAGGTTTAAATATTGTCTCCAATGCCGTATTATTCGAAATTTTTGCATCTTTGATTAATTCAAGTTTTCTTTTTACCGCTTCTGCTGACTTCACAATTTGTTGTTTTAAATCTTTTTCCATCTTTGTGGTTTGCTTTGTTCCAAATCCGATAAGAAAATGATTGAATAATATAACTGCAATCTGTTATGTATGTTAATCTAAGATTATGAATGTATCAAATGCCATCCTGTAACATCCCTTATTTTTTTCACAGTCCTTATTGATTACAAGATAACTAAAAGGCTTATCCCAAACAGCTGAGCACATTTCGCGAAATTGGGACCATGACATATCAGATCCCACGTGTTCTTCATAAACGTGTTTCAAATTGATATATATCGTCTTGTTTGAATAATATTATTAGGTTTGAATTATCCTGTATGAGTTGTTTAGGTATTTTAGTATATGTTTGATTTATATAAAAACAATCAATGTTCTTATGACGTCCCATGGCGAAGTAATCACGAATATTATTTTGATTTTCACATGCAACATCATCGAATATAAAAACGGAGTTTGGTAGAGCTTCGTGTGGGCTCAAAATTTCGTTGTTATTACTGTATTTGTTAAATGTTGTATTGGCCACCATGTTTAAAACTTTTTCTAAGAATATGTACTTAGGTTGATATAAAGATTTTGAATACACATAGATATTACAAAAGCGTGGACCATTTTCATGTAATAATAAACTTATTACTAGGTTGGTTTTTCCACAGTTGGATGGACCGCAAACAAGACAACGTATTGTATTTGGTAATAGGTTACCATGTCGTTTGGTTTCGTTAATAGACGGAGGACATATACAGTTCAACTTCAACGATTCTTTCTGTTTTACAAATTTCATTATAGCTTTTGATCTTGATTGTAGCGTGGTTTTCAACAAAATGAGCTCAAAATTTATCACTTTAACATTTAAACGTTTGGTTTTTATTTGAGGAATGAACAAGCAGCACAAGCAGCATTTAACCACGTTAGAAATCACGAACGGCAGTAAGTGAGAATGCCACGGTACCTCATTGGTTATTGGGGATTCTAATTAACTTTTATCTCTATATCACGAAACCAAAAAAGGTGAATTAGAAGCCTCCAATCGCTTGTGATTGGGGGATTTTAATTCGCTTTTTTGGTTTTGTGCTATAGAGATAAAAGTGAATTAGAATTCCCAATAACTACCTACTGCTATTTATGGCGAGAAGATTATAAGAGTTTTCTACTGAATTTTGACAAACAAGTTATTCGACAGCAAACTACTTAGACAAGTCACATATTCGACTGGGCACTAGTCCGACAATACACTGCTCCGACACCATACTAATTCGACAAGTCACTGTTTCGACACAACTCTGCCGCGAAATAACACGCATTCGAGAAATCGCTATTTCCACAGTACACAAAATTGACAAAATATTTAACCCTGCCTTTTAGTAGTGTTAAATAGGAATTTTCACACTATTTCTTTTGCTTGAGTCGCGACAACAATAAATATTTCCAATTAAATAAAGTTGAAGAGAGTATGAGTCCCGTGAGTTTAGGGATGATGGACGAAATAGGGATTTGCAAGGTTTTTTTACAGTACAGACCCTAAAAAGAATATCGGTAATGCTAGTCGGAAACAGGTGTACTTAAAACAAAGAACATAAACAAATGTATTTACTTAGTAAGTAACTACTACATAACTATATATTGTATACTAGGAATGAACAGTAATAATATAATATATTTAATCAGTAGAATCAGTAGAAATTAAAATGTACATTTTTCTGATTTAAAAAAAAAAAACACATATGTAGTTAATTGAATTGTGTCCCTTGATATGACTGATAGAAATTTCATGACATAATGTGTAAACTAAGTATCGAAAACAATTCAAACACTATGAAGAAAAACATAACGGAATTTAAGTTGACGGACGTTAGCGCGCAGCATCATATAAATGTAACAAGTTTTTGATCTACAGCAGACGACATACAGAGCACTTAATTCTTAAGTACCAAATTTTGTTTTTCATAAATGACTATGAAATAGTTGTGACTACTTAAGCAGTGTTATGTTTTGTCGAAATAGTGACTTGTCGAATGAGTATGTCGGGGAAGTGTTCTGTCAGACTAGTGACCAGTCAAATAAATGATTTGTCCAAGAAGTGTGCTGTCCAATAACTGTAGATATGATCGTAATATTGTTTGTTGAAATACAGTATAAAACAAGATTACAAGTAATTCAAACAATATTAAATTGCTCCCATATATAATCTATTTGGAAGATAAATATTAAAAGAAAGTTCACCAATTTAACGCTGTTCTCGATCCATTCTGAATAGTGACTGATTCTGGTGAAAACAGTGGGTGCATTGAGGGTACCGCAAGTAGCAGGTCCGTAGCTTACGATCCCCACCATAATGCCGTCAATGATGGCAGGATCACCAGTGTCTTTCTAGATAGAACGGATAAAATCTCTTTCAATGTTATTCAATATTCTGGAATCACTAGAACTTTTTGCAAAAAAGAATCTAACATTATCTGATATACTAAGATAATTCTTTGTGACAGTCATGGCTCAGAATGCAATTGGCTTATTTCGAAAAAGAAAAAACATAATATAATAACTAACCAGGCAAGCACCGCCTCCTTTGGAGGTGAATCCAGCGCAGAAATTGGTTTCAGTTACGTATACACTACAAATAAATAAAAACATTGTAATTATCGGTTTCTTTGTGTAGCTGCTTAGATTAAAACATTAATCTAAGTGTAACTGTGGGTTTTTATCATAGTGAAAATATCTGCTTGAGGAATAAAATGTAAATGGAACCACCTTTAAATATTAAAGAAACGTCAATAATCATTAAAAATACTGATATTAATATTCTCACCTGGAATATAGCTCTTTACAACGATTCCAATCATAAAAATCTAGGTATGCGTGGGATAATCTTTGAAATCTAAATGGTTCGTTTGCTTTCTGGAAAGAAAAATTAATTTATATTTTTAATGTATGCTACGGGTATAAAAAAATAATTTAGAATTTCTATATATGCTACATACAGAACAGATAAATAAGAAAATAATGGTGAGCAAATGGTATTTAATAGGCGATTAAGTAATATGAAAGTGGGTAGATTTATAGAAGGAAAATAAAAATAGTGTAAGGTGTTAGCAATAACTGCTGATTAAGACGGATGGATGGATGAGAAGGTCGATGGCGCAAGTGGTTAGTTCGGCTGTGATCGTTGAAGTTAAGCAACTTTCGCAGTTGTCGGTCATTTGATGGGTGTCCAAAAATTTACTATCTCGAGCTTCTCCGTTCTTCGGAAGGAACGTTAAGCCGTTGGTTGCGGCTGCATCTGTAGCCGTTAACACCTACCAATCCGCACTAGGCCCGTGTGGTGGATCATGACCCAATCTCCCTATTCCATCCATAGAACATCAATAGGCTGATGATGTGAAGACGGATTTACAAAAAAAAGATACTATGCCAACTCCAAAAATACCAACAGGAAACAGGGCTATCTTATATAAGGACTCACATTCTTCGCTCCCCAACCCAGCATCAGAATACGTTGGGGCAATGTCTTATTATGCTTATCATAGGATACTTTATAAACCTTTTTCATCTTGTTCACCGATCGTATCTTATTATCCATTCTGAGGAGGGCGATGTTGTTTTCCAAAGTGCTTGAATTATACTTTGGATGGAAGAAAATTTTTGTAATGGCGACTACAGCACCGTCGTACATGGTGTAATCGCTGCCGATTCTCACCACCACGTCTATGGAGTTACTATCATCCCGTTTATTAGTCAGTAGGCTGGATTTCAAAAGTAAATATAATAAAATAATTTTATATTCCATGAACCTTAGATTCATTCAACTTGATTTTATCTAATCTATCAACTTAATTAAGATGATTTATTAATTATAATGTATCTCCAAAGGACTTGCATTCGCATCTTTTCCACCAGTATTTTTTTTAATTTATAAGTTTGAACAATGTTTAAAAAGGCATTTTTTTTAAATGCTTTTAACAGATTTGCAGCTCTCACAAAAGCAAAGCCAAAATATAAAAAAATAGTCTTCGGTATATGTGGTATGTAACGCAACTCAAGGAAAGCTGGTGTTGGCCTGGAGTAGAGATAAATGAATTCATGTTTTTTTTATTAGTACTCACATTTGCAAGCAAGAGGCTGCTGTGATTACGAAATACTTTTTGATAATCGCGCCGGCGCATACAAACTCATCGGCTACATGTACGCTGGCCATGAAGGGATACCTTTCAATCTTCGACGATTTGCTTTTGTAAATCCTTCTTCCTGATATAAGGTCCTTAAACGAAGGCCCTGTGTTGGAACATCCAAAATGATTTTACAATATTAGGTTTGTAAATGCTCTCTGTTTGTCTTTTTGTTAATAACGATAATAATAATGACCACTTTGTCTCAAAATTTAGTTTCTATCTGTTGCAAATCAATTTTATTTAATAAAAGCGGGTGCTTGATAATTGTTTACTCCATTTAAAAGTGTAACGGATTAGATTTTTATGTATAGAGATTTAAAGATATTTAAATCTCTATACATAAAAATCTATTCTAGATCACGCCATAACTCATCAGAGAGAATCATTTAAACGATGTCATCAAATTTTTTTTCAAGTTTTGTATTACTTTTTACTTAGAAAGTAAAAAAGTTGGGCGAAACTAAAGTAAGCGCGGATAAAGTAGAGGACAGAAGCTAGTAAAAAATATTTTTTATAAACAAAATTATGTTTCTGGCTTACCTGGTACTTTAGGATTTGAAATTGTGTTTCTGTATCCTGATATATCGGTTTTTATGCTGTTATTATTGCCATACGTATTAAAACCTTGTTTTAATTTATTTATATTGCTAAGAAATTCTTTAAAATATTCTATCAATTCTTGGGAAATGTTTGGATATCGATTTTCAATAGTAGTATTTTTATCTAAAAATAAATATTTTTGCAATAATTCACACAATACTGTTTCTTTGGCACCACCTGCTTTCTTGGTTATTGGTGTGTTATCGAATTTGTTTTTTATGTCACCAAGTTTATTGTTGTTCTCAATTATGTTTAATAGACTTCGGTGCATAGTCAACAAAAGTTTCATTCTTGTCGTTTCTTTGAATGTATCGTTAAGTTTTAGAGTACTAAATAGTTGGTCAAGCAAAACATGAAGCAATTCCGTGTTTCTGTAGAAATAAATACTTCTGATTTCTGAACTGTTCAAAAGCGTATTAACATTTTGAATATCCTTTGTCAATGTGAAGAATATTATGAAACATATTTTATTTGAAGTCATGATGACTGGAAATGGACTAGAAAATGATAATAATGACTACGTACTACAAGATAATAATGAAATCACCAATTGCAGAATATAAATAAATAAATGTAACTACTAGTCTAATAAAATATGTAACACAACTAAATTTTATTATTTGTTTATCACCCTCACTATATATTGTGAAATTTCAATTACATGTTTCGCAATTTGCAATTTGATTTCGAAACTTATATAAAAAGGTGTAAATAAAACGGATGTTGTAAAAAGTTGATTTATTTTTATACCATTTGAATCAAATAAGTTTCACTTCTTCCAGTCTAAGGATCACATTTTGGGTGAACAAAATAGAATTATATTTATATATTTTTTTACTCATACATTTTTATATACTTTTATAATTATGGCCCCTAAGATCGGAGTATTTGTTCCGTTATTATTGTACGTAGTTCAAATATTAGGGCTTCTTGAATTGCCGACAGTTGAGGACAATAACATCTTGACGACGGAGACTGCCATTCGGAATACCATTAACGCCCTCTTTTCCAGTCTCCTTTTGAAAGATGTGAAGAAAAACCCAAGATTGAAAGAGTATTCCATAGTGCACAACCACCTTATATCGTTCACGTTGCAAGATTATAACAATTTGAAAGAAATTGCAAAACTGACGAGAATCAATAAAAGAAATATAAATAATGAAACTACAAATTTTATGACCACACTCAATGACTTGCTGAATGAAGATATTGAAATAGAACGTAAAGATCTTATTTACGATATTAATGACGAAGCCGTTACAAATTACGTTCATCAGTTTCTAAATAAAATAGAAAGTTTAAAACAGGAACATGGCGTTAATGATGTAAATTTACAAATAAAAAAAGAAGTTTATGATATATTGAAAGAAAATGAGGTATCATCGTTTAATGACACGATGGATGCATCCACGTTTCATAAATCTGACGAGGAAGATGTAATTTTGGGTGAAAATTATTTTTGGAGTAAGTTATTTCAACAATTCGTTTTTTTTAATATACTCACAATAGATTGTAACAGCAGTAATTCCGTCAGTTTGAGTTTATACAGGAACACTTTTGAACTTTTTATGATACCTAATGACAAGGATGGTAATTGCTTTATTTGTAACATGGAGTGGATTACCCATCTTGTAATTCCAAAATTTACAAAAGAACAGAAAGATTCTTTCTTAAATTGTACATTTTAATATACTCGTTTATAAAATTATTTTCGAATATGATTTCCTAAATTCACGTTTGTCACTATCTTAGGACCAGAGCAAAATGGACGCCGCGTGTATCGCGGCGAGAGGGTCAAGATCAAGTACTTCCCCTTCATGGCGAGCGTGCAAATATTCAACCAGTTCTACTGCGGTGGCTCTATCATCAAGTCTGACCTCATCATCACAGCCTCTTCGTGTCTTCAGCTGTAAGTTTCCATATGATCTTAAAGATTTATTGTTATTTTGACCTGTTATTGCAATAATATTTTTTTAGTAGATTTTGTGAAACTCTTCATGTCTTATATCTTCAATAAATCATTAATAAATGGATTGGAGTTTCCGTAGCATGTCCGTTAAAATCTACTGGTGCTATTTTATGAAATACATTTGAATAATTTTACTTTTAAAATTAAAACAGCGCTTACAACAACCGCTTCTTTCGTGAGAATCCAGCTTTCCTCTCCGTCCGTATTGGCACCACTTTCTACAACGGTGGGGAGAATATCGCAGTGATGGAGGTCTACTTCCATCCTGAGTACAACCCCAAGAACTTGAGGAACAACATCTGCATCCTACGATTGGTCAGGAGGATCAATCTGAAAAAGAAAAAGGTGAAAAAGATCAATATTGATCGAACTGCGTCGCCACTGTCTTCGACAACAGATGGCATTACTATCATCGGGTGGGGAGCTAAGGGAGTAAGTGCTTCATTTAACTATTTTATAACTATTTATCTCTTAATTTATTGTATTGATCAACCGAAAACTATTATTCTCAAAACAAACTGACTTAAGTTTTTTTTTCTTAATTTTTTTATTTAGATTTAAACATCTAGCAGTTAAATGCTTAAAAAAATATATAAATTTCACTTACTTTTCCAGACCAACAACTTGGTGATGGATCCGTATCACCAACAGCTTTCGTTTGCTGTCCTCGATATATATCCACTGCAGGAATGTCAGGAGGTATATTCCAGGCAAGTTTCGAATAATTAGTGCATTTTTAGTAAAATTCTAATTGAAAATGTAATATCCTCTAAGACACTACATTGAGATAATACCTTCTGATTTAATATTGTGGGTAATAATTGATATATCACAGTGTTCCTTTACAAAGTAAGTAAGTATTTAAGATATTTTTTTAGAGTAATAAATGGATTCTGATTTTGGGATCTATAGTGCTATTCTGTAAAATCAGGCGCGGATCCCATGTGGATCACCTCGGATTTATATCGGAACATTTAGAAAAACAAAAAAACAGAATAGCACTGCTGAAATTAATCAGTGACATTTTGTTTACATTAAAAAAAAAGTTTTATAAAACCGTAATTTTGTTTATTTATTTATTAAAGTCCGGTCGCCACAATACAGGCATGTCCTAGTGTGGAAGTCGTAGGTAACTCATTAGGGTTTTTTTTTCATTGATTAACTGAAAGAAATAAATACAATTTCATATAATCATTGATGTTGTTTGTTATAGAGAGTATGTTACAAGGAAAAACTTTTGCGCTGGTTTCTTCTCCAAAGGTGGAGGTGCTTGTAATGTAAGTAACAATTAATATATACATATACGAGTATATTGGTGTCGATTCTATAAACTTAAAACTTAACATCAGTCTCTCCTTTTCATTCTGTATAGAGAATGACAAGGATACAGTGGTACAAGTTTAGCTTTAGACAATCATGCCAGAATTGACACCATTGTAGTTATTGTACCTATGGAAGAACTCGTGATAGAAGATTTTGGTCATCCATCCTGTTAAGAATCAGATTAATATTTTGTATACTAGATGATAGTCTATTGAATCGTAATATCGTTTTGTTTTTATGTAAACATAATTATTTTATGTAGAAGCAATAAATGTTCTCTCTCTCTATTTGGAATTAGTTCAAGTGTTTGATTTCATTTAGTTAGTTCTACCTCCTTTTTGGGACACTAAACATTGGTCCTTCGAGCCGGATTTGAACCAGCGACCTATCAACGATCGCAGCTGAATCCGCTAACCACCCGCGCCATCGAGTTGCTCCTCTTGTTTATTTATTTTATCTATTTTTTTATTAGCGTGACGTCGGTGGACCAGGTGTGGTTGCAGGCCGCCTGACTGGAGTGGTCAGTTTCGGGTCTCCAGTTTGTGGCACTCCAGACGCACCCACTGTCTTCACCAAGCTCGGTTACTACAGCGACTGGATCGATGAGATCATGGCGCAGGTTGTTTACCCGTTATTTATCCAACTGTGGTCGCCCGTGACTTCGTCCGCATTAACTAAAAATTTTTGAGAATTCCACAGCAACTTGACATTTTAACGGGATGTAAAGTATCATGTCACATCAGAATTCAGGTTATAAATCCGTTCAGAAGTTTTTATTTATGTTATTTATTTGTTTCATAATCATCATCATCAGCCCCATCAGTCCCCACTGCTGCGGCACAGGCTTTCCATAGGCAAAGCCTGTGCCGGAATGGAATGGAATGGGGAGATTGGGCCATGACCTACCACACGGGTCTAGTGCGGATTGTAGATGCAGCCGGGACCAACGGTTTAACGTGCCTTCTGAAGCACCGAGGAACTCGAGATAGGAGATTTTTGGTCACCCATCCAATGACCGACCACTACGAAAGTTGCTCAACTTCAAACGATCGCAGCTGAACGCGCTAACCACCTGCGCCGTCGAGCTCCTCTCTCATTTATTTGTTTTTAATCAGGCAACATAGGCCCGTAGATAAACCTTATAGTCTACCATATATATCAGTGGCGTGGAGTAAAGCCGGACCAAAAAAACGCGTGGATAAGCAATACCTCATATCTTAACATGTAAAAAAAACATGCAATATATTACATAGGTACCCCTTATAGTAGTGTGTTAATTCACCTTTCCCAAAACTACGGCGAAGTGGTAGGGTGCGGCCAGAGTGCACTCAGATTCAGATTCAGATTCCGAAAACAAGCGCGAGAAATAAACAGTGTAGTCGAAGGGTACGGCCAGAGTGCACTCCTGATTCAGATTCAGGCTCAGAAAATAAAGCGCGAGAAAAAGCAGGCAACCTGCTTAGACTACACTGTTTATTTCTCGCGCTTGTTTTCGGAATCTGAATCTGAATCTGAGTGCACTCTGGCCGTACCCTTAGGGTGCGGCCAGAGTGCACTCAGATTCAGATTCAGATTTCGAAAACAAGCGCGAGAAATAAACAGTGTAGTCGAAGGGTACGGCCAGATTGCACTCCTGATTTAGATTCAGATTCAGACTCAGAAAACAAAGTGCGAGAAAAAGCAGGCAACCTGCTTAGACTACACTGTTTATTTCTCGCGCTTGTTTTCAGAATCTGAATCTGACTCTGAATCTGAGTGCACTCTGGCCGCACCCATAGGTATGGTGCTTGCGTTGCGTTCTATGCAGTTTTTTCCTGCGACAGAACATGCTTGCTGTACAGTAGTAGTAGTTTACTTTCGTCCATTGGGACAGGCGAAGGTACTAAGCCATACTGCCAAGTCTTACGTCCATAGTTTTAGTGCTTGCTGTACAGTTGTTAGTGTTCACCACCTTCACAATACATGACATCACTGGTGTTATATGAACAGTGCATGTCGAGTATGATAAAAGTGGCCTTAAACAAAGCCGTTTAAAGCACACGATTAAAGCCTTTTAAAACACAAGATTAAACACAACACTTGGCAAGTAAAATTTTACTAATTTGGATTTTTATAAACTACTAGCTGACCCAGCGAACTTCGTAGCGCCATAAAAAAATAGGGGTTGGTGGTAGAAAGTTGAAAATTTAGGAATGTATGTTTTTTGTATGTATCATGTATCATAAAAAAATTAAAAAAAATATCTAAAATTGAAAAAAAAAATTTAGGCTTGGATTACCCTTAACATTTAGGGGGATGAAAAATAGATAGATGTTGTCCGATTCTCAGACCTACCCAATATGCACACAAAATTTCATGAGAATCGGGAAAGCCGTTTCGGAGGAGTTTAACCACAAACACCGCGACACGAGAATTTTATATATTAGATATAGGTTCCACAATAAATCTAATCACATATCAGAATAGATAAATTAGCATACGAATCCGTCCATGTGAATGCGCGCGAAATAATGACCTCAGTTGACTTATCAGACCGACCGCCACCGCGCCGCTTGGCAAGATCTGATTGGTCGAAAACTTCAAGCGAAACGAAACCTTAACACATGACAAATAAAGATTGCAGGCTATCTAAGTTCGACTTATAAGCGCTGTTATATCGACGAGTCGTTGCATAATGTTGTAATGTGTATGTGTGCGTGAAATGCTTATATTTTATTTATTTGAATTCACAATAATATTACCGGCTTATGCAGCCTACTACCGCGGCGTGGAGCTGTGTGCGTTTACGCGATTTTAAATACATTGCGTATTTTGTATTCAGCGTATTGAAGAATATTTTTAAAAAGCGAGCAATGTAATTATGTCGCTTGCATTAACGTTTTTATATGTCAATGGTCGCTTGTGCTAGAATGTATTAGAATGAATGTATTAGTATTAGATCTGCCAAGAAAGAAGGAATCGTGTTCTAAGGAGGCTTCGCCACTGATATATATACAAATATAGGTAATACAGTCAAAGTTATTAAATTAAAATTAATTAATATGTTAGTAGAAACCTAATTAGCACGTATAGACGGCGACGTGTGATGCGGAGTGGTGTCAGGTAGCCGGTATCGGAACCGCCGGACCACAACAACCTTTCGGCTAAAGAGCTTTCTTCATGAAAGACGCCAGGTGTTCGTACGGCAACCGCACCACAAAGGATTTAAAATTCACATTGTAGCGGGACTCCAACCGTGCGACTATCAGGGAGAATTAGGTCCTAATCCGCAGTTACTCTAAGATCTCCTCTTCCTTTGTAGAGAAATGCAGTAATGTAATGTTTTTGTGTGATTGAGTAACAAACATACAATTTTTTACATTCATAATATTATATATTACATAGTAAGATAGAAAAGTATATTTGCTGAGGTTCTTTCACGTGCGCGAAACTTTCACTCAGTTGACTCCGTCATTCTTACTGGAGGTAAGCTCTCCCAGTTGTCTATGTCATTAAAATAAGTTACTGCTCTTTTCCAGGATGTCCCTAATACAAAGAGAAGAACTACTTTACTGCCGAAAAGGGAGTTATTCACTTTTGAGGATCACAAAATGCCACCGAAAACTACATTCAAAATCCCACCGCTGAGTGGAACCATTAAACCTATACCCATAAATGAGGTGAACGACTTGCGTATGCTGAAGAACTCTGAATTATTCCAAGAATTCTTAGCAACAATGTTCGCAAACAAAGATAGCATGGAAAACAGGGACATGTTGAAACATCATGCAGATGATAACAAAATTTTAAGAAAAGAACACGGAACCACAGCAGTAGCTGCAATTGTAAATGAGGAAATCGAAAGAACAGAAGCAGTACCTGAGCATGTTCAAATGACTGTGCAAATGGATGATGAATCGGCTACTTCGTCTTATGACGCAGGAACTCCGATAGGAAATGTGGAGCCCGATGATCAGGAACTTTCGGATGTATTGGAGGAACCTACCAAAAAACCAGATACATCCATGAAAATTAGCAAAGATGACGAATTGGAGAAAGACTTAGTTGAACTTATTGATAATATTGATCTTAATGAGATAATTGACAATATATCCAGTATGGAAAATGATAAAGTGATGGATGACTCTAAATTGTTACATTTGTTGGGGAATAAGCGTCCTAATGATAAAGGGTCTAATATCGATGATACTGTGCTGACTTTGTTATATTTATCGGATTCCGAAAAAATGCCTAATAAAGACATTGATGAAGATTCGCTTAATAATGTTAGTAATAATGAGAAAAACAAAATTGCAGAGCAAGGGCTGAGTATCGACACAAGCCCATTTGAAGATATGACGTATAGAAACAATAATACTGATTTATTAGCCAGTCTACTTCCAGGAATTGACTTATACGATTTCCTATCTGATAAAATTAATGCGGATGATGCTAAATGAAATAAAATTTCCAGTAAATTTAGACAAGATTGAAATAAAAAATCATTATTCTGACGATGCAGACCTGAAAAGGCTGCGAAACGTCAATAAATAAATAAAGTTTCGTGCATTAACCCGTAAACACTAGTTTTATTTAAGATTGCTTCTTTTTCTTGTTTATACACTTGAAATATAGAACTATCTACACCATTGTATATAAGATCATTCATTTAATAAGTACTAGCGGCCGTTCGCGATTTCATACGCGTGGAGTTAGTTAGAAATAAAGGTTCACTGCTCGTTCCCCGTAGGTGATAGCGTGAATAATATGTAGCCTATATGTTGACCCGACTTCTTAATAATATTCGTGCCAAATTTGAAGTTAATCCATGCAGTACTTTTTGAGTTTATCCCGGACATACATACAGACAAACAGACAAAAATTCTAAAAACTATATTTTTGGCTTCGGTATCGATTGTAGATCACACCCCAAGTTTTCTTATAAAAAAATATTCAATGTGCAGTTTTGACTTTCCTACCATTTTATTATATGTAGTTTAAACGAGTTAAATTATTAATACCTATTTGTATTAAATTGCTGCAGTGCGGTTCTGTGAAATAAAATAGGTCACTCGCAGCAAATTTGCTAAATCTCGATTCAACTTAAAGTAGATTTACGTAGTATAGAAAAATGTCAAAACGTCTATTTGATATTATTGTATGGGGTAAATCTAGTTTTAGTTTAATGAGTCAAAGCAAAATTTCTGCAACTGGACCTGACTTAATAAATTCGTTTGATAAGCATTACGCTATGTCACAGCAAAATGTTGGAATGACTGTTCAAGCAGCCAGTAATCAGTAATAGATTTAAGACAAATCTTAAAAATCCGAATAAATGAGATCGCAAGTGAGGTTACAGAATCGACACGCCGAACTTCCCAGATTCAGGTTACGAAGGGGCGCCAGGACCCGGGACAGGCGATCCTTCGCAAGACGCACCCAACCCCTGGTCTTTGTGATCTAAGTGTCGCCCCACACGGGCCACCGACCACAACCACAAAACGCCGCCACCAGCATATTTCGTGCAGTTTTCATTCATTTTATATGGACCACACACGATACGCCGGTGGCCGGCACACGCTACAAATCGTCGTTGCTTGCTTCTTGTGGCCCGCACCGGCCACTTAATGCGCCGATACAAAACGCCACCACACGTCACTCGCGCGATTCCCCACCCCTCTCTCCCTTACCTTAGTCGGCCGTTGTCGCGCGCTTCAGCCACTTTAGTAGCCGCTTCTAGCTTCTCGTGGCGGCGTTTGTGGCTGTGGCGTGTATCCCGTGTGCGGAGACACTAAGATCTTCACGATGCCTTGTCTGTCATCCTCTGTTGAATTATGTGAATTGGAAATCATCATAATGTTGTTTTTAAATTGTAATTTTGTATTAAGTGAAATCTTACTATGAGCAAAATGTGCCTACATTTTATGTAATATTGAAATCTCTGGGTACGAAAGGTAAATAAAAAAAATGGGTGGGTGTACTTATGTAGGCGCGTGAAAAGTTATCCTTCTTTGGCATCGTTTAAAATTAGTTTTTAATTGCATGCAAATAATTAATTACAATAAATTAATAAAAAGTCTGGAAAAGGACACAGTCAATAAAGTTCAGTTTTAATTTGAAAAAATAAATAAATAATCAAAATATTCAATTAAAATCGCTACTGAATATAATTTATTAGATAGGACTGGCCGCACCCTATGGGTGCGGCCAGAGTGCACTCAGATTCAGATTCAGATTCCGAAAACAAGCGCGAGAAATAAACAGTGTAGTCGAAGGGTACGGCCAGAGTGCACTCCTGATTCAGATTCAGATTCAGACTCAGAAAACAAAGCGCGAGAAAAAGCAGGCAACCTGCTTAGACTACACTGTTTATTTCTCGCGCTTGTTTTCAGAATCTGAATCTGAGTGCACTCTGGCCGCACCCTAATGAGGTACTTTATATTAAATTGTTTTTAAATTGCTTTCTCCATTTGTCACATAAACGCTGCTGTATTAATTTGTATTCACGGTATGGTTTAGTTCACTTGAGATATATATGTTATGTTTATATAATTTCCTAATAAAATGTCTATATAATCCGGAATCTAGTTTAATTATTACTACATTCCTGGCTTGGGGGACCTTAGGACAGTTACCTACCTACATACTTTGTTTAATTTCCATTGTTTATGTGAGTGAAGATAAAGTAGTGTATGCAGTAGTGTGGCACACTACTATTATGGTACACGTTTAACTTCACTGCTGCTGTTCAGTGTGTAGTTAGTTAGTATCACTAAACTGGTTTTAAACCGTTCGAAGCCAATGGTTTTAAACATATACCGTAGATATACAACTCTAATGGACGTAGGTATGCTTGAAATGGAACGTTTTTTTAAACAAAGTTTGACAGTTCACCAGTAGAGGGCGCTACAAAAGTGTGACCAGGTTGAGCAAGATTCTACGATATTAGCAATTTATTTTATTTACCAAGCCTTTACAATTTTTGGCTAAGTAGTTTGTTTCGTAAATTGTAATAGAAAAATTTGCATGATATAATAAAATACGATAGGAAGCAAAGTATGAATATTATTGTAACTGTTTTATAATAACATTCCCCCATATTCCAAAACGCGGACTAAACTGGTTTAAACCTAACCACTCGTTTCCATCAAGGAACAATTCATATGCTAGTTTTAAATTGTAGAATACTTGTTGTGGCTGATTAAATAATTCTTTCGTTTATACTGCATAGACAACTAGTTGCTGACAAGTATAAATCACTAATTTAATTCACATATTTTGTTTCTCCTACAAGTTTGATGCAAGTATTTTAAACCTATTACATGTTTTATACAAGTGTTATAATTATGTTATATGTATAAACAAGTGCGAACATAAAGACTCTGTAAAATTTGTTAAATAAATGTATAATACCTTGGTGTAAACGCGGGGTATTGCTGTATCTGTTTTTTTTAACAAACAAAAGTGACAGTATCAGTTTTAAACCAGGGTTAACTCTGTTATATGCGTAATGTATAATTTAAACACATAAATCATTAATGGTTGCTTGGTTTATTAGGGATTTAAAACACACCATTATAACACTAAACACAGCGAGACAATACAATACAACCACAGACAGTGAATCATAGATATTAATCATTCATCTTATTTTTTTAAAATTGTTTATAGCTTTGGTGATACATCACCTCCCCTTTTAGACTTAAATCATAATTAAGTATTTCTAAAGTTTATAAATTCAATCTATTTAGTGGCTTGACAATTCTGCCACTTCTAGTTGTAATTACATGTGTTTCTGGTAAAGAATGGTTGCTACTGTTCAAGTATTCATTATTACACAAATTTTCATTATCAACTATTTTTTTTAAATAAATGGTACTATTATTACTAGTATATGATTTTTTTAAATGTTTTATATTTCTCCTTATTTTATTTTCCTCTCCTTCCTTTTTAATCCAATATGATCTTGGCTCCTTACATTTTCCAATTATAGTTCCTTTTCGCCAAAACATGTCCTTATCAGTTTTATGTACTATTTTATCACCTATTTTATATTCATTCTCTTTTTTTCTAACAATATTTTTCTGTTGAGAAAGCGACTGTTTTAATACTAAAAATTTATGAATATCGGGCACAACCTTTGAATCAAGTAGCTTTGAATTTACAGGTATAAGGGTACGGACTCTTCGACTATTTAAAATTTGTGAGGGAGAATATTCCAGTCCAGTTACAGGTGTATTGTTATGACTTAACAAATAGTCTCTGTAATCCACTCTATCTTCATATGCTTTTTTCAATATAACTTTACTTATGTGTACAGCTTTTTCTGCCATCCCATTACTTCGAGGATAGTGTGGACTACTTGTTGTCAATATTATATCCTTCATTTTATAGTATTTATGACACTCATGTGAATTAAATGGGTTATTGTCTGCAACAATTTCCTCAGGGTAACCAAACCTCATGAATACTTCTTTGAATGCATTTAATACAGAATTAGAAGATTTATCATTTAAGGGCAAAATTTCAAGCCAATGAGTAAAATAGTCTACAATTACAAGGTAAGGCTTGCCCATAAAATCTAATATGTCGGTACCAACTTTTGCAAATCTTCGATTTGGTATTTTATGGCTAATTAAATTGTCATGAGGGTTGGCTGACCTAAATTTTTCACAAGTACGGCATCTCATTACATAATCCTGAATATCTTTAGTGAGTCCAGGCCAATAAAACAATTGTCTGGCTTTCTTTATGCTTTTACAAATCCCGGGATGACCTTCATGAACTAAATTCAGAACATATTTTTGTAAAGAAGACGGTACAATAATTTTATCATCATAAAATGCTAAACCAGATTGGAAATATATATTGTCTTTTAACTTAAAAAATTGTTTACAGTTATTTAAAACTTTATGTTCAGTAGGCCATCCCTTTAAATAATACAAATACAATTGGCTTAAAATCAGATCATTTTTAGTTTCATTTATAAAATTTTGTTTTCTTTCTGAAGACATGGGTAAGTGTGCAGTTACTGTGTAGACCATTTGCAACATATGTTTATCATTCTCAGTATAATTTAATTTATTTCTTGATAGCATGTCTGCAAAATGCAAAAATTTACCTGGTATATAATATACATTTAAGTTGTACATTAGCAGTTTCAGTCTCAAACGTTTTAACCTAGGTGACCCAATTTTCGAAATTGGCTTTGACATAATAGATACAATTGGTTTGTGATCAGTTTGTACATCAATATTAGTGCCATAAATATATCTATGAAATTTCTTGACTGCAAAAGTAATTGCCAAGAACTCTTTCTCAGTCTGGCTATAATTTTCCTCTGTCTCATTCATAGTACGCGAAGCACATGCTACTAGTTTTATTAAATTTTTACTATCATATTTTTGGAACAAACAACAGCCAATACCATTTTTAGATGCATCACATTGTAAAATAATTTTCTTTTTAGGGTCAAATGGTGTAAGTGATGGTGTTTTACAAATATTTCTTTTTAGCTCAGCAAAGGCCAATCTATGAGCTGGTAACCAAACAAAATCAACATTCTTTTTAAGTAATTTAAGAAGCGGGGCCATTATATTTGCCATATCAGGTACGTATCTACGCACATAGTTAAATGACCCTATAATTTGTCTTAGTTCATTTTGATTAGTTGGCTCTTTTAAGCACAATAAAGACTCAATTCTGTCTTTATCTAGAGACATCCCGTTTTCATTAAAGACCTGCCCTACATACTTTACTTCATTTTTTTTATATTGAAATTTATTTTTGTTGAAGACAATTCCTAATTCCTTAGCCTTACTTATAACATTTTATAGAGCTTTATCGTGTTCTAATGCTGTATTTCCCATCACTAATACGTCATCGGCCCAAACTATGACATTTGGCATGTTCCCGAAGTGATTCTCAAGCACATCCTGAAACAATTCGGGTGCATTCATTAAACCATATGGTAAAACTAAATATCTATATACACCAAAGGGTGTTGCAAAGCAACATTTCCAATACGACTCTTCAGAAAGGAGTAAATGATGAAATCCTTCCGTTAAATCTAGAACTGAGAAAAATTTCTTTCCCTGTAGTTTAAAACTTAAGTCATCTAACGTAGGTAACATTTTGGGTTTTTTGACAATAATTTTATTCAAATCTAATGGGTCAAGACACAATCTTACTTTTCCATTTGGCTTCTCAACAATCACAATTCTATTTACAAATGCATTAATATTAATATTTTTAATCTTGACAATAGCTTTCCTAGATTCTAATCTTTGTAGTTCTAATTTCAACGGTTCAAGTAGACATGAAGGTAATCTTGAAGAAGGGTGACAAATTTGTACAGCTGTGGGCACAGTTGGAATTTCTACATATCCAGGCAATCTCCCTATTCCTTCAAAAACTTTAATATTTCTTTTTATAAAGTTTTCCTTATCATTATCAACAACAAGCGTGTGTACTCTCTTAATTAGGTTCAGAGATACACATGCTGGTAGACCTAACATCATGGTACTAGAATCAACTACCACAAAATTTTCATGACAGATATTTTCCTTATATTTACACATTAAATTTACAATCCCCATCGGTTTTATAATATTTCCCGCAAATGATTCAATTTTAATACTTGTTTCTTGTAACTTTATACCTAAATTTGTATTTAATTTTTCAAAAACTTTCTTTGGCATAACACTAACTTCTGCACCAGTATCTAACTTACATTTAACATATTGGTCCTCAATTAAAATATTTTCCATCCATTCTGTATTGTCCTCACCTGAATTTTTCACTTCACCACAAAAAAAACTTTCATTGGACTCCATATCCGAACACCTATTGACTTCCTGAACTTTTTTAACTCTGCAGCTCACTGCGAAATGATTTAAAATACCACATTTGGTACACTTTTTGCCAAATGCTGGACATTCCCTTGGACCGTGAACTTTTTTACAGCGACGACACTCAAATTTATGATCATTTCCTGGACCTTCAAACTTCTTTTTGTTAAAAATTGTGTTATTTTTGCCTCTACGAATCCTAGCTTCATCAATTTCTATTGTTGGGTTCATTTCCTTGACTTGGGAACGACTTACTTCACTTGCTCTACATATGTTTGCAACTTTGTCTAGTGTAAGATCATCCATTCTTAACAAACTTTCCTGGAGTCCTTTATCTTGGAGTCCCTGAACAATTCGGTCCCTTAGGAGCTGATCCTCTAAAGTTTCCTTGGTACTTTCGTAATTACATCTGGAGATGAGTTGTCTCAAGTTTGTATAAAAATTTTCAAAATTTTCATTTGGTTCTTGTCTCCGTTCGTTAAACTTAAACCTCTCAAAGACTTCGTTATATTTAGGGTTCACATATTTTTCAATTGCCGCCACCACTTTTTCATAAATTTGAGAATCCTTTTGACTCAATTTGAAACTTTGTATAACCTTTGTGGACTCCGGTCCCATCATATTTCTCAAAAGTGATAATTTTACCATATCAGAGGCGTCATCCTTGCTGATCGCCACTAAATAATCTTCGAACACACATATCCAAAATTTCCACTCCGTAGATGCCGATTGAGATCGAATGTCAAAATTTGGTGGTAACTTAACCAGATTATTTTCCATGGTGCAACTTTTACATCGGTATATACACTATTACAGATTTCGAGTCGACTGCGCCATGTTATATGCGTAATGTATAATTTAAACACATAAATCATTAATGGTTGCTTGGTTTATTAGGGATTTAAAACACACCATTATAACACTAAACACAGCGAGACAATACAATACAACCACAGACAGTGAATCATAGATATTAATCATTCATCTTATTTTTTTAAAATTGTTTATAGCTTTGGTGATACATCAAACTCTAGTCAACTTTTGTTGCAGATAAGTTTTGTTATTTGTACAAATTAGAAATAAAAGAAAAAAATAGGCAATAATATTGTGCAAGTTAATTACAATAATTGAAGCTGATTTTATTCAATTAGCAGCTTGATCTAAACCTGTAAGATATCCAGGATGCTTAAGTTATGAATACACAAAAATTTTAATTAATGACAGCAGATGAATATATTATTTAATCATCATATTTATACGACTATTACATCTAGATATATAGGTACTACGTCTTGGTTAGAAGTACTACGAACATACACACATGAGACTTCTACTACAAACTAGCATAGGTAATTGTGGCGTGGCAGAATTCCCAAATTCGAATCTGGCCACATTAAGCTAAAGTTTTTTTTAGTCATACGGGGTTGGTAAAAATTATCCATTTCCCGATCAAAAAAGGTAAATTTTGCAAATCAATACAATTTTAAACTTATTTCTTGTTTAACTTATAATTTGATTCAAACTAAAGTGTTCAAAATTTTGATATTAAAGTGGTAGTAGTGAAATCAAGTTGAATCGGTAACACGCAGGTTTAATTCTAAATTCGAATTCCGTAAATATTTCTGTCATTTATTCAGTTTAGGTATGATTTCTTTTGTTTCATTCATTATCTTAATGTGTTACAACTGTAATTAGAGCTCGCTCTAACAATTAGCCGAATATTTTTTGTTATGTAATCTATCGATTTTGTTCCAAACCAAATAACCTTACTTTTCTTATCAAAGTATCATATCAAGTAGGTAAAATTAATGCAGTTTTAACTCTTCATCTACTTTAATCGACGCATTTCTACAATTTTGATTTTACTTGTATTATTAACCTAGGTGTTATTACTTAGGTATTACCATAATAATAATAATTCACACAGCAAAATTATTATGTTATGCACCCTCTCTTAATTAACAATAATGAATACTTATGAAGCATCTCTAAACTACTAACATTGCATTAACTTTGGCAACTGACTTAAAAAAGAGGTTCTCAATTTAACTCCTTCCTTTTTTGGTTTATTATTAATAATATATACAAAGCAAACATAAGAGCACAGTACTTACCACTAGCACGAACCATTATCAATTTCGAATAGTTTGCAAACCGAAATGTCAATGTCAAATTTTGTATTGAAACTTGAACAGCAGTGGCACAAAGTACGCAACGAGAACTAAAAATCAGTACAGATTTGACAATGATATTTCGGACTCGCAAATGTTACAAATTCGATTTTGGTTCATGCTAAGGGTACTGTTCTTGGTTTGAAAATATGTTTCAATATAAGATTTTTAATTTATAATAATTAAGTATTTTGAAATGTATGTATTGTTTCTATTCAGATAAAATGTTTGTACAGAGTACACCATGTAAATGAAAATTGTAAATATATAAAAAATAAAAATTTCCAACGCTCACACCAATTAGCCTAGCCACAAAGTTAGCACTGTAGACTTGTGTTATGTGATACTATGGTAACTATATTTATATAGCAATACATATGAAACACCCATGACTGGAGTTCAAATGCTCGTATTAATCACACAAACATCACCAGACCATTGGGATTCGAACCCAAGACCTCTCGAGTAGGCGACACCTTGAAACCTGACGTACAAACCACTCGGCCACAGAGGTCATCAAATAATATATATAATATGCCATTTACCTACATTGTGGTCACAAATCAGAGTGCCCGGCCATCTGCTGTTCTTCTCTATACCTCTATGATGCATTGCTGAGTCATTCAATAACATTTTTTTTTTCCAATAGATGGCAAATTTTCTTCTACGTCGTGCACTGTTAGATGCAGTTCGTGTACCTGTCGGTACTCGGGCGAGCAGTGAACTGTCTAAGGTGAGTTTTGTATTTTTTTATGTGCTATCAACACTGCTTAAACCTCCATTTATTTTTTGACTAGTTGACTTTTAGACAACAGAGTAACAACAGAATAGTGGAAAACACATTAATCTTTATTGAATACTGATACACACTTGTAGTGGTCAGCTGTGACATGGCAGAATAGTTCCAGTAGATAGTAGCAACGAATTCAATGGCTATAGTAGCCAGCCTACAGGTTATAAGCAAAAACTGGATTGTCTTAATTAAAATTTTACTGATAATAATTGTAACTAGCAAACCAGTGAACCAAATGTTCACCAAAACCTGATTTCTCGAAAACCGGAAGTGCTACGTTACTCAAATCCGGTTTGTAGTCTTATCAGACTATTCTTAACTTATAACTTAAATATTCTCTTTATCTATCTCTTACGGTTTGGCCGCTGAAACAGCACCACAGACAGACAGATGGACGGACTTGTCTAATAGATAAGAGATTTGTAATTATTTTCTTTAAACTGAATAGTATATTGTATGGCACAACTTGGTTTATTCTGTAATCCTGAGCATTGAACAAACATCACTATCAAGAGATAAATTTTCAGATTAGTAAACAAACCTTTAAATTCAGGTTGGCAACCGTGAATGGGTGGGCTTCGGTTTCAATGGACAGCCCAACTACGTGGATAGGCCTGACTTCCCCTTGCCGGCTGTGAGGTTCCGCCCCGAAACACCTGATATTAAGGTAAGTTCGGACCAATATTTAACAATATTAAATACCCTAAATACACCACTAGCGCTCAAAATGTGTCTCAATCTAGAAGTGCTTGAACTCCATTCATGCACTGCTGGTTCACAGTCACGCACGGACCATTGAAAAGTCAAGATGCCGCAGAGCTCTGTGAAAAAATTAGAAAAAAATATTTACAGTACGTACGGTGTCTTTTTTATAGGTTTCTAATCAATGTTTGTTAATTTAACTCATTTGAAGCAAATTTTGTTGTAATTTTGACGTGACAACGTCTTAAATTAGGTTGCGGCTGGGAGTCACTTATGAAAAAGTGTAACGCTCGGTAACGTTACGATGAGTCTCTCGTGTTAAGTTTAAGTTTACATGTACAATGTTTTAGTAAACAAAATATATTTCTATAGTTAAAATTTGTGCAATTCTTATTTTCATTCAATTCCTTGTTCCTATTGTGCAATTTAATTATATTCATATCAATAAATATTCTACCGAGAAAAAGACGTTGTCACGTAAAATCTTCGCCCGTAAAACCGACTTTACAGGCAACCATTTTTTTACATAACTGATTTAATAAAATATATATTTGTGATATTCAAATGCATGGTCAGTTATATAGCCATTTCTTTTCCTCAAAGTCCATACCTGCTATTTTGTTAACAGCACATTCAGATTTGCGAGTAGAGTCAAGAAAATTAGGTCTATACTCTTCCGTGTATAGCAATAAGTCGTAAAATTTGATGAGCTTGCATTTCAAATTGTCATAACGCTTTGATGCAATGCGTTTTAAATTAAGACCTTACACAGTATGGATTAAAGGTGACTTTCAATGTTTAAATACTGCCTCATATTGTTTTCATAACACGATCATCTTATGGAGCTCCTTGGATCGTCCAATGTACCTTTTGGACAGGTTTCGGCCACAATTTTGTTTGCTTTTTTGTGTCTAGGGTATTTAATATTGTTGCCAACATTACTCTGGAATCAATGTAAGATTTACTGTATTAACAGTAGTTTTGGATTTTCAAATCCAAAAACTAAACTTATTGGTACAAAAAAATATAACCCAACAATTTGTATAGAGGCCTGAATTAATTCCATATTTTCATTGTTAAATTGCTGAAAGATAAAATTTTACAATAAGTATTTAAATGATTCTCTTATCCTTACAATATTGTGTTGTCATTATACTTTCAATTTATTTATTTTATTTAATTAATTAATTAACCATACAGTTGTCAAATTTTGTTTAAAGTACCATGTTAAGTACCATGTAAATAATAATAATAATTATAAGGCCAAATGTTCAATGGCTTGAAGAATACCAGAATGTAACAGTTTATATATGAAATATTTTTACTTCCCTGAATTAGGTCCAATATTAAATTTGTTTCAGGTTCATGCAAGTTTTTTCATTTTCATTTAGCTGTAATAGTAAAATATTTTATATTTTTTTCTCCATCATTCCATTACTCCAGGTCCTCCGCGAAAAGGAAAAGGGTGATTGGCGCAAGCTAAGCATGGAGGAGAAGAAAGCTTTATATCGCGCGTCCTTCTGTCAGACCTTCGCTGAGTTCCAGGCACCCACCGGGGAATGGAAGGGGGTTGTCGGCTGGTCATTGTTCGTCGCCTCCTTTGCGGTGTGGATCTATATGGGGATGAAGTTGTTCGGTGAGGACTGTTAAGGCTTTTATCTCTGATAAAGTCATAACCTCATGTATTTTAAACAGATTTCGCCTTAATTTTAATCTTCTGCTTAGACACTACAGCGACATTGTATCTTATACATTTTTTACTAGAAACAATACCAATAGAATCTAGTACCTTTAGGATTTTAGACCTCGACTATACCTTCACAATTTTTACTCTAATTTATAGACAATTGACATGACAATTTTTACTTTAAAAACTGAACTTTGCCCTTTTCAATTGAGTTATGGCAGAACCAATTATTATTAGATTTGTTGAAGTTTCACTTTGAACCGGCTTCGCTTTGTTATTCGCAGAGTTCCATCTTAATAGTAAAGATACTATTCTATTTGATCGGAGTGTCTTTATTACCAATAGTTATTTGTCACCAAATTGTGTTAATATTATATCTTATTTTTATTAATTCTTATTCATTCGTCAACAGTGTACGGTGAATTGCCCGAGTCCCTAAGCGAAGAGAACCAGAAGGCTCAGTTGAGAAGAATGCTGGACCTCAAGGTCAACCCCATCGATGGGCTCTCTTCCAAGTGGGACTACGAGAACAACCGCTGGAAGTAAACTGGATAATGTAAGGAGTAAACTTATAATAATTATGTTTATATTATAAGCATTTTATTATTTTATCTAGTAATATTTTCTTAATATGTTATTATTATTATACTCTTTATTGCATCATATAGTTTAAACATATAGTCAAATACATAGTAAGCAAAGGTGGGCTTATCTCTAAAAGAGATCTCTTCCAGCTAACCTAGGTGGTGTCGGAGATTCACAACTTAGCGGGAAACAGAAAGTGCAATAAAAATTAAACTAAAAATAATTTATTACTTCTGTTATAGGAAATAGACTTAATAAATAATAGTTATATATATATACATTACATGATACATATACCTACATAAATAAACTTGCATAAATATACATAGATAAATACAATACCTATCCAAATATACATAACATACATATAAAACTGATAAATAAATACTAATAAGAAACAAGATACTTCGTGAGAATGATTCATTAAGTTTGAGATTTCTGTTTGAGAAAATGATCTTTAACTTTAGACTTAAACGAGAAGATGTATGTTTCATCTTAAAAGGGTTCGGATTCACCACCTTAGCATATAGACGCTTGCAATAAAAAAAATTATTCGCACTGTTGCATAGCCTACTCCTTAATTATTTTTAGTTCGAATTAAGTTAATTGTTCTAGAACAACCACTGTTCAGAGACGACAATCAATTTTTAACTTTGATTAAAGTTGCATCTGTCTATTTTGTTATTGCATAATGGACTTGCTGCTTTTAATAAATTTACGAATAAGATCCCCACTGCTGGGGCACAGGCTTAATAGGGAGATTTCACCATGACCCACCACGTGGGCCCCGTGCTGATTGGTGGGTACTAACGACTGCAGATGCAACCGTGAGCAACGGCTTAACGTGCCTTCCGAAGCACGTGAGAGCTCAGATTAGTAAATTTTTGGTCACCCATCCGTTGACCGACCACTGGGAAAGTTGCTGTTATACTTTCTCGCTATCAAAATCCACAAAAAAACGAGTGAAGTGAAACTTCTTTAGCTCCATCTGTATGTATATATATATGTATATATATGTGTATACAATATATACATGTTTGTACATACATATACATAATTCATTTACTAGCTATAAGAGAAAGAGAGAAAGAAAATGTGCGCGCGCACTGCTCTCTCTTGCTTATATCCCCCACTCAGCTCCCGTTTGCCTCGCCCGAACACACTTTTCGTAACGCGTAACGCATTCGCAAGCTTACCTTACCCCAAGTCAAGCGTGCGCAAAGAAGTTTCACTTCAAAAAACAATATTAATCTTTACTACTTTATTAGATAAAGTTTATAATATGTGTTTGTTTTATTTGTAGATTCGGCACTGGTGCTTCGCCTGCGACAACTTACAGCAGCGCGTTATAGAATAGAAAAATTATGTTTTTTATAATTTAAGCGACAATTCCTTGTAAGATATATTAATAAAATTGTGATTCCAAGCAACTTATTGTCTTTTAATTTTTTGATACCACGCTAATATTATAAAGGCGAAAGGACATCGACGAAATCGGCCCTAGCATGCCCAAAAGAATGTCCTTCCCTTTAATTTTTTTTCTATTATTTTTTTAACTTATTAGCAATTAATCATAGTAAACGGACAATCTGTTTAAAAAATAAAAGTTCTGTTACTTGATACTACAGTCTGTTCATCCAACTTGGCACTCCTTTTTATTGAAAATACAGCATTAAAAATCAACTGATAACTGGATTCAATAGGTTTCAGTCTATAATAACGATTTATTTTAATAGTTTATTGGCTTCGTTAATATTTTATTATTAAATGGGTGATTCTGTTATAAAGTTGTGCCAAGATTGTTTACCTTAGTAATGCAATATAGGCGACCATAGATATTTATCAACATAAAAATAGAACTAGGTACCTTAGTTAATAATACTTATTACTAGTATTTATATTATACTTATAAAAAGATTATTTCTGAAATTATGTAAAGATAGTTTATACTCCCATCCCATATAATATCTGTTTATTTTTATGAAAATCATAATGATAACCAGGTACATACCTAATTACCGACAGTAAAATATAGAAACAGGTAAATTGAAAGACTGAACATTTCATTTGAAAAGAAATCTATTATTACCTACTACAGGTAGGTATAGGTATCATAGGTGCCAACTGACAACACTCAAAAATCAATATGAATATAAGCATTTATTATTTTTATTATTAATTGCATTTTATGTTCATTTAATGCATATTATTTAAGTGCTTACATAGAGGTAAGCACTAAATCTATTCAGAATATATAAAGTGTACATCTTTTATGATTAAGTATAATAATTATAACCTCAAAATCTAATACATTCTGTAGTAGGCCACGGTTCCTCAAGTTGTCCGTATCTCAACAAATGCTTATTTAGAGTTTATGAATGATTCCGAACACAACTAGCATTTTCCCATTGCTGGGCGTTCTAGGGCATTCAATGTATAGGGAACGAGCAATGTCCTTTGTGAGTGTGTATGTTTGTTACTTCTTCACGTCTAAACGGCTGGAGCGAATCAAATATAATTTGGTATGGAGTCAGCTGATACGGGGCCGTTCAAGTATTACGTAAGCAGATTTATTACAATTATTTACCCCCTCCTCCCCCTTGTCATCAAAAGTAATCAAATCTCTTAGCCCCCCATGCTTACGTAAACATTGGTACCTATTAAACATTTTTGCTTTAATGTATTGTATTTTTTTATACATTCTTGAGCTTTCATGAGCTTCATGAACATCAGTACTTAAACAGGCTCAGCCCCCCTAGCATGAGCAACAAAACGCGATATGATAAAGCGATTTATCGACATTAACTGTCAAACTATAATGGAGTTTGACAGTTGAGTGTCGATAAATCGCTTTATCATATCGCGTTTTGTTAGTCATGCTAGGGGGGCAGGATAGGGAACTTTAACGCACACAATATTCATTTAAACAAACTTTATTGACACAGTATTCAACGTAGAGTAAGGTACAAATAATCTTATTAAGTACTATTACGAACAAAATAAACTTCTTTCGAATTTTTGGTATACATATTAATTCCAATTAACAGTTTCCGACCCCCACCCCCCATGTCACCCTGCCCCCCTATAGTGCTTACGTAATACTTGAACGGCCTACCCTGAATTAACACTGGCTACGTTTTACTGGGGGAAAATATCCCTAATAAGCCGCGGGTAACACCGCGGGCCACTGCTAGTCAGTTAATAAATGCGATAGTGTTCTTGTCTTCTGTCTGAATAATACATTTGGTATAAATATAGTTCCGGAAAAGCACATAGGATATTTTTATCCCAGAAATCATCCTTTATGGGAATCGTCATCCGTCCACCCTCTGGTGGAAGGTTGTACGGGAAATCAGTTGAACCACGCAGACAAAATCTGAAATTGATTTGATGAAAAAAAAGAGTGAAATTTTAAGATGCGCGCGCATCACTGTAACACAAGAGTAACACGATTCATCGTGCTTCAGTTCTAAACCGTGTTAACTTCAGTACTAAACCGTACATTAAGGCCCGTATTACAGAATCTCTTATCTATTAGACAAGTCCGTCCGTCCGTCTGTCTGTGGTGCTGTTTCAGCGGCCAAACCGTAAGAGATAGATAAAGAGAATGTTTAAGTTATAAGTTAAGAATAGTCTGATAAGACTATAAACCGGATTTGAGTAACGTAGCACTTCCGGTTTTCGAGAAATCACGAATTTCAAACGAAACCACACAAAATCTCCGAAGTTCTCAATTAATTAAATACTTTTTTTTTGGTGAACATTTAGTTCACTGGTTTGCTAGTGACAACTAAGTGTTGATCTTTACTTGAGTACAGTTAGAGAGAGATGTTGCTATTTGCTATATATAGCGACATCCCTTTCTAACTATGCTCAAGACTAGATCAATCACTGAGCATCTTTCTATAATAAGGGCCTAGTCTCGAAAAAAAGCTACCAACAAAATAGAAATAGCATCTCTATTAGTTGCGCATGTTGGCACGCTCGTCGCCTCTGATCGCCGTTTTCATATTTATAATATTTATCCATATGTTGCTAGTTTCTATATTCACAACACGTGTTTTAGTTTCATACAAGTGCGAATTATATATGTGCTAATAAATTATATTCAGTAGTGATTTAAATTGAATATTTTTATTATTCATTTAATTTTTCAAATTAAAACTTAACTTTTTTGACTGTGTTGACTATCCTTTTCCAGTCCTTTTATTATTTTATTGTAATTAATTATTTGCAAGGAAGTATAACTTCTCACGCGCGTACATAAGTACGCACAGCCATTTTTTTTGGTTATAGGGAGTTCAAAAAAAGACAATAATGGGAACAACTTTTTTAATTTTTCATAAAAAAACAACATTTCAACATAATTAAACAATATTATTCATCCAGTGAGCATTGTCAAAAACAATAGGTAATACTATTTATCATGAACATAGCACATGCTATTCTTTTATCACCTATTTATTTAATTTTATTTAATAATTTATTTTATACACATCTTATACTCGGGAATAAATTCAACGGATAACTCTACGTGCAGTAATATTTAATTATTAAATTTATTTATTTGTGATTAATTTATAACGTAAAAAAGTCACAAATACTTAGTAGACTGAATGAGGGATCCGAAACGATTTTAGATGAAAATAATGCAAATCTATAGAGCTAAGGATTCCATAAAATACAGTGGTGAAATTTTTGTTCTACGACAAATATTGACGAAGTTATGATCAAATTACTAAACGATTTTTCGGCTGGCCGCGTGGTGACTGTGACGTCACAGAGTTCTAGCGCTCGGGCGCGAGCGTGCGTAGAGACGCTACTAAAGTTCGACCGGAGTGAACCACGATCGAGCTCTATGACGTCACACGTTTCGGCCGCCGGTGATTATTGGCTATCATAAAATTAGTTATAAAATCGCAACAAATGAACTGATTTCGATGATTGAAAAAGTACATTAATTAAAAAGCTTATTAGATCATTGTACTGTTGATTTATAGTTGATTTGCTGACCTAGTAATGATCCTCATTGAATTTTGATGTAAGTTTTTTTCACATTAGAAATAAATAAATATGGAAACTGAATCAACAAAAACACTTTTTATTTGGTCTGAGCAAAAACATCTGTTTCTAAAGAAATCGAACACAGCAAAGGAATTTACTTATCTCAACTCCCAGACTTCAAACAATGTACCTACTCAGTCAGTGTATTCAGCGATGATAATGACGACAATGTGAAAATATTATGTGTGGCAAAAACTGTTTTCATAGAGCTATACGAAATTATTTGTTTATTAAATTTACTCCATTCCTCATTACAAGTAAATCCATTAGTGTAGGATCTTTAATATATATATATATATTTGCGACTTCTTTACGTAGAATAAATAAGAGTTTATTAAATTCATTTTGAAAAACACGTATACATATAATAATTACAAAAATGTCGACGGCCAGTGTAGGAATAACCTACACATTTAATTTTCAATTTATTATGCATCCAATAGGGTTACATCGCATATTTGTTTCAATAAAATATTTAATATTAATATTTATAAAATGATATTTAAACAAAACACCTATCACAATTTTCAATATTTAAGTCTCAACATCAATCGAACTTCTTTTTTTTTAATTTCTAGCTTACATAAATTGCAAGGATTTAAGTTTTAAACATGTTTAAGACAGTAGTGTAGAAAGTATTCAATTCAACAAATATGTGGGTGGCAAAGCTAATACAGATGTCGTGCATTCAAAGAAAAATCGTGACCCGAAAATGCTTTCGAACCGAAACTGGGTATCGGTATCGAAAAAAAGAAAATTAAAGTACGGACTAGAAAAATATTATCAAAAGTATTTTTGTATTTTTTGGTTACTAGAAATTTTTATGTAGGGTTGCGTGCGAAACAGATATATGTGGTGATTACACTGCACATACTTCATTTTTAATATACTCGTATGTATGTCATATCTTTTCAACAGTTGATATGTAATGCAGTAAGACCCCGTTAAATACTGTATTTTTCAAGCTTTGTTAGACCGTAAATCGTAAGAAATGAACGCAAAGAAAATATCAACAATTGTTAAGCAGATACTTCTCAAAATTCTGGTAGGTATGTATGAGTCTCTTGAATAGATTTTTCCAAAACTTAAGATCAATGTTATCATTGATTAACGGATTGCCATTTGCCAGTTAACTTAAAGAAGAGCATCAATATTAGTAAAAACGTATTTTGAGAAACACAAGAGAAGTGGAATGTCCGTTAGATGTAGAAAAAACTATACTTTTTAACCGATTTAAAATAAATAGATAAAATTTTTTTTAGGTGTACTAAAAACAAACTTATAGGATAGGATACTTAAAATGCAGAGGAAAAATAGGAATGTTATGTATTCCTATATATAAATATATATATTAGAATATTATG